CAGGAATCAGTGTTGCTCGTTTTCAGCGCCAGAGTCAAACATATCGCAGAATTGTGTGGCAGTGTTATGGATGGGGTCCGCTTTGCTCCACAAGAAAGTAGTTGTTAATTTCCATTGTCAGGTCTTGAGTCGCCAAGATAGAATGCCTCTGCGCACAAGCTCGGGGGAAGCTCAAGAAGCGGAAAACCCAGCTGAAGTCCCACAGCCCTGCATCCGATAATTGTTAGGTCACATATAATATGTGAAATTGTAAGATAGAGCCTAGCCCCTGCACAGCAGAGATTTGATGGGGGAAGCAAATATAGCAGGGGCACGTTTGAAAGGAGTGGTTGGGCACATATATATAGTACATTCATTTAATGATATAATACATCAATAAAAAAAACTCCATGGAGTAGCCAGGTCTAAACATCTTTTTCAAGTCCCGAACATGTAAACGGAAAACGAACTAAAAAAAAAAAAAAAAAAAAAAAAAAAACACTGGTCAGGATTTCGCGGCTGCTGGGGAAAGGGATAAAGGATGACCCGAAAGACTCTTCTTTATAAGCCCCAATACCGGCGTACGCAAGTTAAAATATCCCCACGGGTATGCCATAACCTAACCAGTACGACTATTTCCCCTGCCGCTGTTTATGTTTGGGATTCTTAGAACTGCAAGCAAACAATCAGTAACTAGAATTAATAATGAAGGGAATCCAAAAAAGGGAGGAAGGGGGAAAAATCCCCCCATCAACACCTCAACACGCCACCAATAAAAACCTACCAAATAATATAAACCCGATTCTTTCTTCTGACAGGCTTGCATCCATCACAAAGCCTCTTCACAGACGATCTCGTCTTCATGCCCCGAACCTGTCCCACACCATTCGCATTCCCAACATTTTTAGCAACACTCTTCACCGCGTTACTCGAAACGGCGGCGCCCAGTTTTGCAAATAGGCTGATACGGCTCCATGGCATTTGGCTAGCGATTGTGGAGGGTCTGCCGCTGCTGCCGGATAAGGACCAGATGGAACGGGAAGACATGGTGCAGCGTATTTTGCGCGTGAATGGGGTGGTGAGTGTTCGGAGGGAGATGAGAGGAGAGAGAGGGGAGGAGGAGAGGAGGGAGCGGAAGTTGGTCATTTTCTATGTGTGTACGGTCTGCGCCGGACAATTGGCGGTCAGTCGCCCTTTTGCTTGTGGTGAAGGTGTTGGTGGTGGGATTGATCGAGAGGAGGGACTAGGCTTGAAGGCGGGGAGAAGGTGGGCTCGTTTAGGGATGTATGAGATGGATGGTTAATTCATGATCCCTTTTTGTTTTTTTTTTAACTGGTCAAGCATCGGATTGAGGAGTTCGGTTCCTACGTGGAGGTTTCTATTTCATCTCCGCGATTTGATGAATTCCCCCAATGCTCGTTGGAGAGGGAACTCAGCCGGAATTTAGTTTATCCGGTCGCGACGAGGGCCTGTTTTGAAATGGGTTTGGCAATGGAAGAAACTATGAAAAAGAGATCTCTTCACGCTACAGCTGATTCCCGCATGTACATGTGCATGTGCCATCGATTCTTTTTATCTAAACCTAGTTAATGTGAAGCTGAGTAAATCAATAGATTAGAGTTCAATAAAAGCTAAAAATCTTCAAACGCCTTCCGCCCTCTTTCTAAACTAATAAAGCGCCAGCATCATAGTAATAAAAGTATGTGAAATCCGGACACAAGGGATGAAAACCACAACTGCAATTTTTTTGAAAAAGGACTGGGGGGAATCTCCATGACAAACGAAGCAACTAAAAACCAATTACTCTCGCAAAAACATCTTGTAAACCGGCGAATCCGTGCACTCCGTGAATGGGTAACCCAAATCGTATAGGAACCCCTCAAGCTCTGTCTTCTCCGTGGCTGGGCACTGAATCCCCGCAAGGACCTTAGCCACGTCACTCCCGTAATTACGATAGTGGAACAATGAGATATTCTGGTGTGGCCGGAGGGTGGTGAGGAACTTCACTAGCGCTCCGGGGCGTTCGGGGAATTCAAACATGAAGAGTCTTTCGTCGACGACGTTACTTCGTCCACCGGCAAGATATCGGATATGCGTCTTTGCAAGCTCATTATCGCTTAGATCCTGCGCTATCATCCCACCCTGCAATAATTGGTTTACTATTAGACCCAAATCCTCTGTTCCTGTCGAGGTGGATAGTGATATTCCCATGAACACCACCGCAGATTCGCTGTTGGAGTAGCGGTAGCTGAACTCAGTAACATCATGCGGAGTCACGGTTTCCACGAGCTTCGCGAACGAGCCTGGGCGCTCAGGGATGGTGACGCTCAGTAAAGCCTCTTTCCTCTCACCCAACGTAGCACGCTCAGCTACAAAACGGAGCCTGTCGAAATTCATATTCGCTCCGGAAGTTACCGCCACAAGCTCTCGATTGGGATCAGGGGATGGATTCATCGCGACATATTTCTTCAGACCGGCAAGTGCGAGGGCGCCGGCCGGCTCCACTACTGATCTTGTATCCTCAAAAATGTCCTTGATCGCCGCGCATGCCTCGTCGGTCGACACCTGGATAATATCATCGACCACCTCTCTGCATAACCGGAAAGTTTCTTTGCCTACGGCCCGCACGGCCGCACCGTCTGCAAATAACCCAACTTCACCCAAAGTAACCCTCTCGCCGTTCACGAGGGACTGAGCCATTGCGTTCGCATCGTGCGTTTCTACACCGATGATCTTGACGTGTGGTGCAATTCTCTTGAGATAAACTCCAATGCCGGCAATTAATCCCCCGCCACCTACACAGCAAAACACCGCTTCGATATTCTGTATATTGCATTGGCGCAGTAGCTCCATCCCGCAGGTGCCTTGGCCAGCAATGACATACGGGTCATCAAAGGGGGGGATATTCGTAAGATCGTGTAGTTTGGAAAGTCTGGCAGCTTCCTGCTTTGCTGCGTCGAAATCACGTCCATGCAATACAACCGTGCCACCTAATCGAGCGACATTTCGGTGCTTGATAGCAGGGGTGCCTTGGGGCATCACGATGGTAGCGGGGATCTTTAATGTTCGTGCAGAGTACGCAACACCCTGGGCATGGTTTCCTAGTCGAGTGAGTAAGGAGGACAGAAACAGCACACACACACACAGAAAAAGTAAACAAATAAATAAATAGAAGATGCTAGTAGCAGCCTTACCTGCGGAACACGCAATAACACCCTTCCACATTCTCTCTGGACTCAAATGAGCCATCTTGTTATAGGCACCTCGAAGTTTGAAGCTAAAGACGGGAAGCAAATCCTCTCGTTTCAAAAAGACTTTGCATTCCAATCGGTTGCTCATATTCACAGCGTGTGTTAAGGGTGTTTCTTTGACAACATCGTACACGCGAGAGGTCAGAATCAACCGCAAGTACTAGATATGAACGAAAACTGTAAGATTTTGGAGGATAGCTTGCTTATATTTTTGACTGGAAAGGAGCGCATACATCTGGATATCCATTTGGCAGTAGAAAAGCCTCTGGAATCTCCCAGTCAGGAGGCAGACCATGCCTCTCACTAGGCGGGGAAGGATTTGCGGAGTATTCAGTCAGCGAGAAAGAGTTCAGCCTGGGAGTGAGTGGTGAGCTACAGCCATTTGTTAAGGGCGCTTCTGCCATGTTTGGAAACACGGGAGTCTCTTCTCCTCTTGCTAGTCAGCAATTGAGTGGGTTTGATCCTTTAGACTGTTTAGTGCTATGGTTGAATCCTCGCTTTCGGATTGTTTGGAGGTGAAATGGCGCCCCTCAGCGGAGGTGACTGGAAGCTTTTTTTTTCCCTCTTGGTTCCCTGGCGATATCGGAACTGGGGTTGGCAGGAGCTTATTTACCTAAGTGGCTAGCGCTGTTTGCCAACCACCTCTTTCGGTCAACTTCAGGAAACCCACTCATATCGTCGGCCGATTGCTACGGTTGGTTCTTCTAGCCCTTCCAAGGTTTAAAGACCGTGTTGTTGGTAGCCATGCGGGCTCGGATTGCTGCAGACTGCTTGTGCAAGCTGATTAAGTGTCTTTGAGTGTCCATCTATCGCGCGTGGTTATAGGCTAGGCAACTGAGGCCAATTGCATAGTGTTGGCCGTTACGGCCGTTGCGGTTAGCGATCTCCCGATATCACGTGACCCACCAATATATTAAGCTCTTTGTATTATCTCAGCGGGCTCAGACCTCTTGGAGGTTAACGTTGTTGTGTTGTAATCTAACTACGCGAGTTACACTAACCTTACTGGAAGAACGTAGGGTTAATTTACGGTGATTCCACGGTGGTTCCACCATTCCACGCCGGTCACGTGTCGCCGATTGTAACACATGTTATTATTATTATTATTCTTCAATTATAGATGTATGCAGTCAGAGACTATGACATCTACCTGAGAACTTTTAGTTCTCAGGGTTTTTTCTATATCTGTAAAGTTAACTATTATACATTCATCAATTTCAGATATATAAAATCAGAAAATTTGTAAGAATAAGTGCTTGCAGGTGATTATTCAGGTGTTTGCAGCTTGATGTGATATATACTGTTAACTACTAGAAGTATTCATGATAGAAAGATAAAATGTAGAAGTTAAATGTATAATAGTATTTAAGCTGAGTTATAAATAGTATTTATAAACTTCAGTCTATATAGTTATGTATAGTCAAGAGCTGCTAGCTCTATTAATTATATAAGAGATAGAAATAGAAATAAAGAATCTATAAAAAGTGAGATTTCTTATATATTCTTCTCTCTCTAAGACTTTGTCTGTGAAGTCTTTCACTAAGTAACTTTATAAAATTAACTCAGCACTGTAGTAATACTCACTAAAAACTCTTTATATCTTATAAAAAATCTTAGTAAGAAAAAATCTCTTATTACTGTGAAGAGAAAAAAGTTTATTATTCAGTTTCTTATTCTATAAAATTCTTTATAATTTACAGATTCTTCTTTAACTATTACACAGATTTATCTTATATCTTTTATATAGAAGAATTTCAGTTAACTTTTAATTATTTTTATAAGATTCTTATATAATTATTATATAGATTTATTTTACAGATAAATCACTCTCTATAAAATTACTCTTATTAAAGAGAAGTATTTATAAGTTAATCTTTTACTTATTTTCATAAATTATTATTCTTTAACACTGTAAAATTATGAGAAATTTTTCATTTTTTTATTAACTTTATAGAATTGTAGAATTAAGATATTTACAGTCTGTAATTACTCTTTATAATTATATAGAAAGATTCAGATCTGTAATTTATAATTACTCTTATTTATTAGAGTGATCTGACTGTTTTATAAAATCACTTATAGTGTAAGTAAATCTCTTTAAAGTAGTATAAATATCTCAGATTTATCTGTGAAATTTCATCTTTTTTTCACTTTTTCTATAACAGCTTTCTTTCTTATAAACTGTGAGTATTCTTATTTATCTATGAAGTATTTTTACTTAGATAATAGAGAGAGAGTATTTCTAATAATATCTGTATATTAATTTAAAAACTTCTTAAGAATAAAAATTTTTTTAATTTTAATATCTTTATAAATAATATCTGACTATTACTGAGCTTTTTATAAGTATCTCTATAACTTCTCTGATTACTTTTTATCAGTTAATAAAGTAGAGATATTACTGCTTATAATTATATCTTCACTCTTCTTAGCTCTGTTATCACACTTAATCTTTAAATTAGTAGCTTACTTTATATCTCTCTTAAATCAGCTTCTGACTCTGAGTAGAATAGTCTCTCTCTTTACTATAAGTCTTTTTATAAGTAATTTCTTACAGACTCTAACTAATAATTCTTATAAAGCTCTCTATAATATCAGTGTCTTCTATAGTTTTACAGATTTATAATCACTCTCTTTTTATCTGCACAATCTCTGATCAGATATATATAAATATATCTAGATTTTCTATCAATGATTCTTACACTGCAGTGTATTTCTATAATCTCATTATTAATAAAAGATAAGTTTTCAGATATCTGTAAAATCTGAGTAATTAAGATAATATAAATATTATAAATTTATAATAAGAGTTAATTTGAGTAGATGAGCTCTCTCTCTATATCTTAATTATTTTCAGACTGAATACTTCAGTATAACTGAGAAAGTGAATATAACTTTATAAGAGATATCTGATTACATATACAGATAATCAGTTCTCAAGACTCTGCTATAACTATATATACTCTGATATTCAGCTTCTCTGAAGTCTGTGCATTTCTAATAGTTTTTATATTAAATGTAATAATTATTCATACTGCAGATATAATACTCTTTACTTTTTTAAAGAGAAAAATTAATAGTTATAAGAGAATTAAGTGTTACAGATATTAAGAATATAAGTATAAGTTTTCTTTATTTTTTCTTTATTAATCTCTAAATTATGTTTACAGC